CATCTCTCTCCTTCTTCACTTCTTTCACCAAATTCACCTTAAAACCTGCACAAAAACACTGAAATCAAGCATAAACCTGTCCAGCTCTCTTATTTCTGAAAATATGAATAAAAGCATGATTTAAAGCTAATAACAAAGTATTAAAGGTTGCTTTTAGTATCAATTTCAAGCATGAAAATAACAGTTTTTCAACTGTTATCAACTAGCCTCTTCCTTTTCATCTGCTGCTCTTCTTTGAAGACGTCAACAACCACCCTTTCTTTTTGGTCTTGAAGCACCACTAATCCCTCATCTACATTAATGATGACCTTAGCCATTTTCATAAATGGTCTTCCAAGAATAATTGGCAGCCTTTCATCCTCCATCTTTATCACCACAAAGTCAACCAAGAATTGTAGTTTGCCTATACAAACCATAACATCTTCTGCTATAACATAAGGATTCATTGAAGATCCATCCGCTATTAGCAAAGTCATGTTTGTTGGCTTGATGTCAAATTCACCAATTTGCTTAAGTAAAGATAAAGGCATTAGATTGACACTTGACCCTAAATCAAGTAAGGCTTTCCTTACCTTTTTCCTCCCTATGATGCAAGGAATGGTGAAAGTTCCTAGATCTTTCACTTTTGGAGGGAATGATCTCTTCTTAGCAGCTTTGCACTCATTAATCTCCTCCTCCATATATCTTTTTCTTTTGGAGATTTCATTCATATGATTTACCTAAGCTGAAAATTGTTGCCATGCTTCATTCACAAGTAGATCAACATCCATTTGATTGAAGATATCTGCGCAAAGCCCCTTTTGTCTCTCTTTCTCTATTTCTTATAATCTGTTGGAAAAGGAAGAATATTTTCAATTTTTTTCTCTTTTCTCTCTACTCTCTCTTCTTTTTTCTCTACTCTCTCTTCTTTTTCTTCTCTTCTCTCTAACTCAACTTTTTCAACATTCATACTCACTAAAACTTTACACTCTTCCTTAGGGTTAACTTCAGTATTAGCCCCAAAACTCTTATCAGGCATATCTTCCAACTTCTTAGATATTTGGCCAACTTGTATCTCCAAGTTTCTAATAGCCGCTTCAGTGCTCTTTTGAGTGGAAATAGTTACCTACATAAATTGCTGAAGAGTTTCTTCCAACTTTGTATGTCTTTCATTGAGTGTAGACACTTTTTGCCATAGTGTTGGTTGTTGCTGTGGCCTATTAAATTGTCCTGATTGCCCAGCTTGTCCAGATTGACCTTGACCTTGACCCACGCTTGGGTGAGGTTCCCACCCTTGGTTGAAATTACCTTGGCAGTATGGAAATTGATTGGCCATGAAATTTACATCTTCTAGGGCCTCCACTGGAAAATCGCATTGACCATTGATATGGTCACCACCACATAGTTCACACATTTGTTGTTGAACTTGTGCAACAGTCTTTAATTCCTTTGGCAATTGAGCAAGTGTCTTTGTTGGATTCTGCAACTGTTGAGTTAAAATCTTATTCTGAGCAAGCAAGGCATCATTTTATTGCAATTGTAGAACCTCTTTCTGTTGAATAAAAGTTCCTCTTTCACTGTATAACTCATTGTCATTAGTAGCCATATTCTCTATCAACTCGGTTGCTTCCTCTAGAGTCTTTCATGAGTGCATATTTATGCCCACATTTATGCTTTAAAATTAAATTTTTGATGAAATTTATGTGCTTAAATGATTGATTGAAAGAGGATTTGTGATTATTTGATATATTGTGTTTGGAATTAAAAGGGACTTAAAAAGTGATTTGTGTAGCTGAAATTATAAGTTCTATTGGTCCAAATGGCAATTCAAGGCCCAAAATCAGGTTTTATTTGGAAAATAATGTACAGATAGGCCAAACAGGCAGACTTTACCTTTGCACCTCCTAAAAACCCTACATACATTCCTATTTCTGAAATAGGCCAACAACCAAGCCCAAACACTAAGCCTTTTCTACTACACCTCCCTAAGTTTCCTATTCCTACCCCTCCTAAATCAGATTTCACCAGATTCTGCCACGTGTCCAAATCCTCCCCACACAAATTTAGCCAACCACATACTGCCACATCACCCCCCTGTGCCACATCATCATCTTCTCCCCAGAAACCCTAATTCCCAAATCCAAACCCTAGCCACCTATGGTGTCGTCCGTCGCTGCTGCGCAACCTCCACGGCCACCGTTCATCTCCTCCTTTCTCGCCGGTGCATCAATGGACCACCACTCCCGCCACCACAGCGCCGCAGATCCGTACCATCCTCACCGCCAGCTAACTTCTTTTTCTTTCTCGCAAGATCCACGGATACCAGTCAGGCCGCCACCGTCAACCATCAAGGCCGTCGCCGTCAAACCAGCGAGCTCCGCCTCCATTCGCGAAATGGCCACCGCTTTTGAAACCTCCATCTCCATGCCGCGCCACCATCAAATGCGATTCCCAGGTTGCGCAATCCAACCCTAGACCGTCATCCCCACCATCTTCCTCGCACCATTGCCGCATCATCAATCATCGCTTTTGCACCTCGCCATCGCGAAACCCATCTGCCTCACCAGGAACAAATAGCGAGCGGCGAAATCATTTTCCACCATTAGAATCGCGACACACCTCCAACCTCTCCGTCGCACACCACGCTCATGACCATCACGTCACTGCCATCCAAGCTCCGTTCATCTTCAAACCTGTACTCAGGTAAACCAGAAAATGAAGCCTCCATGGTCTCTGATGAGTGCATATTTATGCCCACATTTATGTTTGAAAATTAAAATTTTGATGGGATAATTGTGTTTAAATGGTTGATTTTAAGTGAATTTGTGATGATTGGAATTATTGGGTTTGGGAAATAAAGAGACGTAAAAAGTAAGTTTTAGCGCATAAATTATTCTTGGATGTTCTAATGTTTATTTGTGCAGATGAGAATATAAGTTTTATTGGTCCAAATGGCAATTCAAGGCCCAAAATCAGATTTTATTTGGAAAATAATGTACAGATGGGCCAAACAGGCAACTTTTACCCTTGCACCTCCCAATTTCCCTACATACACCCCTCTTCTCTTAAACAGGCCCAATACTAAGCCAAACAGTAACCCTATTCTAAATACACCTCCTAAATTTCCCTACCCATACCCCTCCTAAGCTAGACTCCACCAGATCATGCCACGTGTCCAAATCCTCCCCACACAAATCTAGCCAACCACATGCCGCCACATCACCTCCTCTGCCACATCATCATCTTTTGCCAAGAAACCCTAATTCCACCTTCTCCACAGAAACCCTAGCCGCCAATGCCGCCAATGTCGTAAGCCGTCGTTTCGCTTCCGCCGTACCATCCTCATCGCCGACCAACTTCTTCCACCATCTTCTTGCTAGCGCCGCCGGTAGCCACCACCGTGAAACCGCGACGTCACTCCCTCTTCTTCCTCGCGTTGCCGGATTGTAAGGGCGCCATGAAGCCGCTGCCACGCCGCACGGCCTCCGTTAATGTTCACCACCATTCCCGCTAGCCGCCGCGGATACAGGTCAGACCGCCACCATCTCCAACCTTGTCGTCAACCTTCAAGCCACCGTAACCACCCTCACCGACGAGCGCCGCAACCGCAAGATCGTCCGCGAGCACCTCCTCTCCATCCGCGCTGCTGCGAGGTTTCAATATCACCGTCGCACCGCCAGCAGCCGCGATAACACTCTCTCCTTCGTCAATCGCATGTCCGCAACATCCACCTTCATCACGCCATTAACGGCGACGCCGCGATCAACGAGCATCATCGCCTCCGCCACGCACAGTCGCCGTGC